AATGCAGAGACATTGACACTTTGCCCTGCATGGGAAAGGTGGCAACGTTTCTTTAAGATTTGAGTAAGACTTTTTTATCCCTACTGATTCACACCGGTAAAGGTATCACTTGCTGAATATTCGATCCTCATAATGATAATTGACATTCCGGACCTGCCCTTACCTAAACCATTATTCAATTGCTTACATCACAAAATATTGCAGTTTGCTTTTGTCTGCCATGTCAAAAGCATAGAACCTGATGAACTTGTACAAGTGTCAAACATAATAGGTTTGCCTCCAGCAGAATTTGTTTTTGTGCAAAAACTATGTCAAACACTTTTTCTAAAAACAACCTGTCCTTTAAATCATGATGTCAATTGCCGCCCTTTTTGAGTTTTCCTGACATGAATAGCAGACTCTTCAGATACCAGTCTGACCAGAACTAGACTTTGTGGTTTAAAATTATATTTAAGTACATGGCCAAAGGATATGAATGGTATACCGCCAGTACAGTACTATTATAATTAGTCAGCTTGGCTGATTGTTTATTATGGTTATTACCTGTTGCAGTGACTCGTAAATGCTCTACATGTAGATCCTGCAGGGGAACTTATTAGATATATGGTCTGTTCACCCAAAAATGGAAATTTTACATAAATTAAATATTTTTCTTGGTAACTCTGATGATCAGATCTTTGCATTTGATTTTAGGTCTGTACACCTGCCACAGCCATTAGAACATGGTCCTAATTTTCCCTTTGAATTTATTTGCCGTACATTACAGAGAATGTTTTGTTGTTGGAGTAGTAGATTCCAGTGTGGGATGGAAGAGATTCAATAACATCTGAAGCTCCCTAGAGGTACTATATAGGAAACATTTATAGGCTATATATAGGAATCAGATGACCCTGTCCACCAGGCTTCCCTAACGGGAATATCACTTTCGGGTGAATGGACCCTTGAAGTGAATAAGAAATGTATGGTATGCAAATGTAACAGTGCAAAAGAATTGGGGGGATTTCAATATTTTTTGTTTGTAACAGTAATTTCCCTGCAGCTATGCATATCTTAAAAAATTGGTATTAGGTGTCTGTTATAAAAGGATTATTCTATACAATATTGATATTCCAGTTATAAATGGAATTAGGTCCCTTGGGCAATGGATATCTAGGTGGTAAGGTGTCTATATCTGAGCCCTCCACATCCATACAGTACAGCTTCTAAGCTCTATGATTCTTAGAGAATCATTATACAGTAGAGTAGCAACTTGTCAATAGAATGATCACACTGTTATTGCTTTAATATTAAATATATTATTTTATTTTTTATTTTTGAAATAGCAAAAATGTGCCTGTTCCTTTTTTTTTAATGTTCCAGTGGGAATGTGACGTCTCAATAACGTCAGAGGAGTGTGACCTGACCACTCTGGCTATTCTGATTGGGCTACACTGACTGAATATGGAAGGGCCGGTCACTGCAGCGGTGGAGAGCACAGAAGTGCACATTGGTAGCGTGTTGGCAGAGCTGAGGTGTGCATCGGTGCAATGGCAGTAAATGTAGAGTCAGCTGTTGGTGCAGCGGTAAGTGAAATGAAGGCATGTGGGAGAAATGGTAAGAGCAGGGGGAGAGAATGGGATTCAGGCACAGTGGTGAGAGTGGGGGGTGGTGTGCACATTTGGTGCAAAAGGAGCATGGAAGTCAGTTGTGGTAATGAGAGCACAAGAGGGAGGGGGTACGTGAAGGTGTAATGTTGGGGAGGATCCAGGCAAGGTGGTGAGAAGAGGAGTGCAGGAACAGTGGTGAAGGAGTGGTGTTTGCTGGTGCAGTGGTAGTAAAGAGGGTGGTTGCAGGCATGGTGGTGATGAGGATCTGTCAGCTGTAGCTCCAAATGATGGCACCGCTCCTTCTGGCTAGCAGCAGAGGTTAATGAAGCAGGGGAGGGGTTGGTGGTATGAGCTGCCAAGCTGGAGAATACAGTGCCTGTGTAATCTACAGCAGACACCTACAGGAGAAGTAAGGAGGTGCTATAAACTGAAATGCCAGAAATTAGGACATCATGTCCCATAGCAACACAGACTCACTTGCTGCAGGGACCATGTGGATGCACTTCCTGCTGGAAATGGCTCTTGTGGATGGCACTGGTCAACATTTAAATGTGGGTGATAGCACGCAGGAGTAATAGCAATACAATGTTCTCCCCCACTTGCTGCTACTGCGCATGTGCCAAGTATTGGCGCTGTTTTGGGGTATCCCAAATTATCTACACTACCCCCAGAGCGGTCCTGGCATTTAGTGACAGCATTGCTCCTCTAGTCTGCTCTGATCTTTGCAGTTACCGTCAATCAGCTCCCAACAAATGAAGTGTCCCATCACTATTTGTGGCTCCTACATATCACATAATCTACTAAAGAGAATTGCAAACAAGTTATTAGCGATAGGAGACTTCCTGTACCGGGAGCTGATTGATGATATGTGCAGAGATCTAAATAAATGGCACTGCAACACAAGAGTTGCATTAGAACGCACATTACGGCAACTCATAGGTCTGAAGGAGGCCTAAGGGCTGCCTATACTTTCAAATAACTTATTTCTAATGACCTCCCTCCCCATGCTAGCTATACCCCCTTGCTCTTACCTTACATAAGTGGGAGATGCAGTCCAAGAGCCTACGCTTTATTGGGTGGTGCCCAGTTGGAGAAGCCTCCCTGAAAGCTTAGAAGTAGAAAGCTTTAGAATTTGGGTTTATGAAGAATCATGTACCCCTGGCACTCTGCACTCTGACATCTCCCTGTCACCCTGCACCCCTACCGTTGTATCCCTGACTCAAACTTCTTGCCTCCCAAGCACCTCTACCACTGAAACCACCTGAACCCCAACACCCCAAACACTGCATCTTTCTGCACTGTTTCAGCTCATAGGAAGAGGAAAGCCCCACTGAGACGACCAATGCTTCCATTAGTACAGAAGCCTTCCAATGCAGCAGCCATTTTCTAGAGGCCTAACATCCAAATATATCCTTTCTTTTTACTTTACGTTCAAGATAAGCACTTCATTTAAAATATAACACCACTATGTACTGATCTTCCCTCCTAAACTATTGAACCATCTATATTATTTTTTTGAACATGCAATCTTTATATAAGGCTGAAACTAAGGGAGAAACTACTTTACTTCCTGTATTCTTCTTTTAGATTTAGATTTGGCTTGCATTTTGTTTTTGTAAGCTACAGTTTCATTCATGGAAGGGCTGGGCTGCTCCTAATTTTAATGTGATAATTTGTCCAATGCGAAGTTAATTAGTTCTTGCTTTCCTGGGGGAAAGATATAGCTATATGACAGAATACCATTTAGCTTATGTCAAAATATTCTGTAAACAAATTAAAAAATGTCAATGATTCCCTTCATCAAGTGTAATTATCCCAGAGTTAAGTGGCTGAAGTTTCGCTGTTGTGGTGTTGCGTTTGTTACAGTTGTCAGAAAGGAAAACAAGCGGAATGAGATGCATAGGATACGGAAGAACCATCTGGATTCAAGTGTTATTAGCAACCCGAGTGTCTGTGTTTCCATTTTTTTTTATTTGCAAACTTTATCTTTTAGTGTTGTCTAGTTTTTTTAAAGCCAAACTCCAGCCTAAATTTATTTTTTTGTTTTGGAAAGAGTAGGAAAGGGTTAAAACCTTTAAAGGTTTTAATTGCTTTCTGTGTTCCCATCTGGGACAACTAATCCCCACTTCTAGTCCCAACGACAGGGCGTCACAAGGACAGGAAGTGATGGTATAATCCTCTGATTGGTAAGGTTTAGGACATCTCTCAGTTTTATAATTTCTTTTCTGACTTCCAGTCCCGGTCCCAACCCACCTCTTATATCTGCTCCTGGTGTCACTGAAACAAGAAAATCTAGCTAATGAGGACAATTACAAGATTAAAAATGTGACTGAAGTTCTGACTCCTAGCAACTTTATCGAACACCACAATAAAAAGAAGTCTGAAGTTGCATTTTAAATATTACTTGGCCATTAAAGGTCCAATACAGGAATCAGGTGAGAAATGAACCATTTAGGGCCACCATAGGATGAAATAACTATTTTTTAACTCATAACACATATTTAAATGAGTAAAACACATACATCATACAAACAAAATCATTTAAAATATTTAATAGAAACACAAATAAATAATAGAAAATTTCATAAAATCTATATAGTAAACAACATATGCACACAATAAAGCAAACATTCTCATAGATGTCCACAAACACACCTCGATTGTGTTTCAAGCAGCATTGACATCCACGCCTTCCCCGTTGCCACCTATTCTTTCTGGTTAGGGAGAGACAGAAGTTGAGGGGCTTGCAATGTGCAACATTTTCTCATTTCAAGTTTTCTAGAACCTTTTCCAAGTGCACGCTTAGGAAATAGTTAGGGCCAGCTCGAGAGTGCAGTTACTGGGGCAGTTGCCTAATGCCACCAGCTGAAGAAGGCCTCTGCACAGTGCCCTACATATATTCAGTTCACTTCATATTCAAGTCAGAATCCATATCTGCAGTCTCTGGGGATTTAGAGCCCATAGTCCGTAATCACCTTAGTCTCCAGGGTTTGTTGAACTGGTCTTTGGTAGAGTTGGGTTCCAAAAAAGGGTGAGATGTTTAGAGTCACTCAACGAGAGGTAAAAGATCATATTTGCCACAGGCAATATGTTTTTCATTGTCCACAGTTGCAGTCTATTTTGTTCCAGTACATCAAAAACTAAAAGTTGGTTTAAAATATACAAGGACAAGATAATTTTTTTAGAGAACAGCCAACATTCATAAAAGCAAACACAAACTATGTTGGAAAAAGGTCATCAGCCTGAAGTTTGCTTTCATTATGCAAAGTGCTTTTACTTGTTCTCATAAACAACCTGCAAGATAATGAGGATTCTTCAGCCCATTATGGCACTCTCATGGCATATACCACCTCCACTAATACTTTTGGTAGTATGTTCTTTTGTTGGACCTGATGTTTGCTCTCGGCGTGCCTTTTCAGTACGTAACATTGTAGTGGTCCTGCCTCTTTCTGCAAAGGCGCTTGATCCAAAGCCAGTAGAGGGCTATCATCAGTACCCAGTAGCTAAGATAGGCAGCAGAGCCATAGATCAAATAGGTTTTCTCTGCATCGATGAGGCGGCAATCAGTGCACAGCGACATCATGATGATGGTGTAGAGCAAACCGGCAAAGAGGATCCCCCACCAGATAGACAAAGGCAGGAGGGGCATGTAATTACCTACCATCTTCTTTCGTCCTGATGTACCCCAGGTGCTCTTGTTCATGGTAAGAATGGCAAAGTACTTTGTGGGAAGAAGCCCAGCCATGTAGAGTACGGCATAGAGGGACATGAATATCATGACCATGTTGCCTCGTAGCAAGCAAGCATACAAGGCCTTAACGGTGGCAATCAGCTGGATAGTGATAAGGACCCACATGATGTTCCACAGCTTGCAACTGAAGAACAACTTAATGACTGTGATAGTGACAAAGAATGGAAAGACGCCAGAGATGATTGACTCATAGGTCATCCAGAGATGATGTTTGTGCCACCACAAAGCGTTGTAGAGCCACTCACGGAAATAGGATTTGGTCCAGCGGGTCTGCTGGTTCAGCCAACGCAAGAACTGGGCAGGTGTCTCTGAATAACATTTGGAACGTGCGGTGTACCTAAAAGAAAAATCATGTCTGAGATTAGCCACTCATCTTACTTGAATATTTACTGTAACTATAGTCTAAATTTACTTTGTTCTTCACTAAATCACACACTTCCTATTGATATGTTAAATTTCCTGTTAAGCTTAACTAAAAAATCATAGCAACAAAATGGGCAAGCCAGATTTTGATTACATCTTTAGTGACTGGGATCAGGACACATGCTTACAGTAAGAGGGAGCAAAGGGCTGACAATTGTCCTGCTTGCCCCTTCATTGTCCATTTATCAGGTTGGGGAAGGAATTTCAGAAGCCATATGTTTCCCTATAGCCATTCATCAGAAGTGTGAGTACCAACTCCATGATTTTAGGGGGGACGTTTTTTGAGTGAGCATACTTGCAGCGAAAAGGGTCCCACTACACTATATTGCGCTGCAGTAACACATGCACTGCAGTGAGCTTTGATGTGCCTTGACATGCACTGATTCATTGTGAATGGTCCCCAACACAGAAGCAAATGCTCTTGCTCTATTCTGCAGTGCACTGTATTGTGTACGTGTGTTGGGGTGCCATTTAAAATGAATGCCAATGCATATACACAACATAAAGTTGCAGTAGCATACGAGCGTACCACTGAACTCCATGTGTGAACAGGCCCTCAGAGTAAGGTAGTGCAGATATATAAGGGCATACAACTGAGATCCTAAAAGGTAATAAAAGATATCTTAACTCTCAATCACATGTCGTTTTCTAACAAGCCAGCTTGTATCTGTAAACAATACGTCAGGTCAACTGCATTTGCTGTATTTTTCCTGAAGACGTTTCACTGGTCATCCGATCAGCTTTCTGAAATCAGAAATTTCTGAATTGAGAAAGCTGGTTGGATGACCAGTGAAACGTCTTCAAGAAAAATACAGCAGGTCCAGTTGCCTTGACTTATTTTTTACAGATATACCATGACCTGGATGAATGAGAACCTTCACAGACAAGGTTTTATAATCCATTGGTCTCTCAGTAAGCCTGTGCCTTCTACTCCCATTTGACTAGTCCTCCTAAAAGTTAATTAATTTTAAGAATCATATTTTTTTCTCTATCCTAGCACATTTTAACGCTGAACTTCAGGCTAATATAAAATACACAACTTAATGCAGCCTTGCATCCATTAATTCATCCTTAAATGTATTTTTCTGAATGCAAGAAGTCTAGTTTCCTGAACTTGACTTAGTATCAGTGGCGTCACAAGGGGGGTGCGGCCCGCACCCGAGTGACACCATTGGAGGGATGACACCAAAATGACTTACTGTCATTTTGGTGTCACCCCCCTCTGAAAAGTCAGGCGCTCGGTCATGGACCGAACGCCCGACAGTATCAGGGGAGAGGAGGGGACCCGGCGGCATACCTCATCCCGCCGGGTGACTGTCCACTCCTCTCTCTGCAGGCGTCCATCACCAAGATGGCCGGCGGCAGGTATCAAAATGCTGCCGCGCGTGTGTGATGACGTCATCGCGCACGCGCGTGGTGACGTCTCGCGCATGCGCAGTGACGTCTCGGCGGGGTGAGTCTTGTAGTCCCTGTACAGCAGCAGAGCTCAGATTGGGAGGGAGAAGCAGCTCAAGGAGCCAATCATTTGTGCTGCAGTGCTCATGTGCTAACAAGGAAAGGCCAATAGGAGGAGAGAGCAGAGTGAGAGAGAGATAAGCTAATCAGTCTGCTACTTCTCCTTTTACTGCCCAATCAGAGGGTGCAGCAGAGATAAGACCTGCAAGTGTCGACTGCAGTAAAGAAACATCAGTTCTCCTACTCTGTGAGGCAGGACTGTGCTATGTGGCAGAGCTGCATAAATGTTAGGACTGGGTAGTCAGAATAACATATATTTTGGCAGGTAAAACTTTAATACAAATCACCTTCCATCTTTTTAATATACTTACTTAGTTGCATAGCCTATACTAAGCATTCTGTTGGTCAGATGTCTGTCGTCACCAAAAGTGCAGTGGGATCCCAGGAACTTCTGATTGTACCAGGATTCAAGGAAAGTCTGGAGGAGGTCATTGCGATAAAGCCCTGAAAAGTCAAGAGAGCATATTGAGGATGTTTGCAGGATACATGGAGATCAGTTCTCAGGTGTGTTTAGCTGTGGAATGTATAATGCCGCAGGCAGATAATTCTGCATCTTCAGCAGAATGTTCTGGCTTACTTGGAGGTGTTCCACTCCAACGTTTGGTTGCCTTGTACTCTGGATAATTACATGTCAGCTCATGTCAGCAGCATTGCAGTATATCAATTGAAAACGTTACCCACCTTGAGGAGGTATTTATGCGCAAGGCTAAGTGAACCTTTCATTTAAAGGGGTTGGATGAGCCAATAGTTTATTTGTAGGTGAGTTTGGTGGGCTTGGTATGGATTGATCTAGTAGTAGCAGCCTTGGGCATCTAAGCAAACCGGAGCTTAACCCATTTACTTACCTTTTCTGCATTCCCCTACTGTTCCATTCAGGACTGAGAGCCAAAGAAAATATCTGATACTGCTAAGCTTGGAGTAGCAAGTGACTTACTCCATGTGATAGAGGAGTCCATAGGCCTGTGGGAGCTACGACTCCAGCGACTCATAGCTTTTACATAGCTTTTACATAGCTTTTCTTTTGCTCTTGGTGGCTGAACATAGCAGTAGGGGAGCAAAAGGAAGGTAAGTAAATGGAGGTCTGCATTTAAGTGAACCTGTATGCTTTTGCAGTTTCATTGCTTACAGTCTCTGAGAGAGGTTGAAAAACTGCTGACTTCACTCCTCAATTATAATTTAACTGGTGTAGCCCTTAAGGGTTAAACTTTAACCTGAAAGCCTTTACAGAGATTTATAGCCTTCAAAGCTAAGGAATGTCAAGAGCTGGGTGTATTACATCTAATTACTTATATGAAAGCAGCCGTGCTGAAAAGGACTCCTCACTAGGGAATGTTTTTGTGTAGATCCTCATGGCACTGAATATATAACAGCAACATGGGTCTATCTCAGCATGGTTGATTTCGGAAACCAGGGCATAGTAAAACCAGGACCCATGCTGACCAAATCCCAAACTGGTAATGTGCATATTTGGCTATGTCAAGTTTATATATCCAATCCCTTCAGGACAAGACCAAAATTGGGACAGGTAAGAGGTATGGCCAACATAGTGGTTGCTGACTGTTTTTCTGTTGAACATCTGCATCTGACGTGAGATCCTAGCCAATGACTAGTTGGGGAAGGTCAGCTCTGTTCACCTAGGTACTATACTAGTAAACTAGATAGTAATTCCATCTCAGTTGACAAATGTTGTTGATAACTTACCAAGAGGACCACTGATGCAGGAGACACAGTCAAAATAAGACTGGCAGGCTCTTTCCACATTGAAGGCGATCCAGTATCTCAAGCTGCTCATAAAACTGATGTAGGAGTCCGCTAGATTCAGAATTCGCACATCTCCTCCCACAGCTCCATAACGGTCATTGGACTCAAGCACTTTTACAAGTTCAAGGGTAGCCAGTGGTTCCAATTTAGTGTCAGAGTCACAAACCTGTTTAGGAAATATTTGAGCATAAAATTATTTAAACACTTTTTTTTAGGACTGCTCAGCAAGACATCGCGATATGATGACTTTTAACGCAATAAACATAATCTAAAAGGGTATACATAATATAAAAATATACTCCTGCCTCAAAGGCGGAGTGCACCCAACTCTTGCAGCAGGCATGTTGGTGGTGGTTGCCACCTCAATGCGGTCCTGATCTTTCTGGTAAGGTGTGTCAAACAGATCAGTGAATGTTGCTGCGGAATGAGCCATTGGGGAGTACTTGGAGATAAGAAAGCAAAGTAGGCATTCAACTTTGAAGCCTCATTTGGAACCCAATTAAAGCAGTTACATTACCCAACGTCTTTGTAACTCGCCCTTGTGGCATAACACACCCAGTTCCACTTAGATTGTTTTTTTTTTTTCCTCCGAATACAATAATGTTAGATCTGGTTATGATACCTATATATAAATAGGACCCATCGTGGTAACTGCCGTGTTTGGTATTAAATTCAGTTTTCAAGTGTCACCAAGTCTGTGACAACACACAGCTCATGCTGTCTAACTGCCAGGTTTGACTAGTAATGGACTTGTATTGTAATAAAGGAGAGGCTTGTTGTTTGGCTGTATTTTTCCACTGCAGCAAAAGCAAGTTAAAGGCTATGTCTACAGTATTTCAGTTATAGGCGAATAATCCGGATGTGTCTTATATATCTCAGTGGTTTGAGTGCCCAGGGCTCTGTACTCTTAAGCCTACATCTTGAGTTTTCTTACCATTTAATATTTTCGGGGACCTGTGCTCTAATGCCAACATAAAGCCCTGCTTGGATGCTCTGCATAGACAGCAAATGCATAACTTTCACTGAGAAAATGCAGCTATTGGCTCCTTCCAATGCAGCTAGAAGTCCTAGGCTTTGGGTCATATGGTCTTTGCTAAAGAGGATCTGCCACTTAGAGCTCTGACCCTCCCCTTCGACTGAGATCACAGACCAAATGCCAAGGTTTTATTTATGTGCAGTTACAATTTTTAAAAGTGTCCCGGCAGTCTTAATAAGCTGCCAAAAAATTGCCAGCATCCCGGAACTAGGAAAATTCCAGCAATGGCTGAGCTGGTTCAAGCTGGGGGGCAATTTTAAGACCAACCAGCTTTACCACTGCCGCTAAAGACAGATTAATACACTTTCAGCCTTATTAAGAGTTATTTAAGAAGTTTAGTGACCAAGAGCACCCAATCAGAACCAATCTTTTTCTGGTCTAACTTCATTAGAATTAATTTGGATTGACTGTTAGGGGTTACTGAAGGACCATTGAAGGGCAAAAACACTAGTGAACATGTACATTACCAGCGTGTGTTTTTGTCAAGTTACATATGCTGTATCACTAACTCATTGCTAAATCCCGGTTCTACCAAATCTGAGTCATCTGAGTCTTCAAAGTGTATGTAAAGCCAAAACTTTTCTTTAGTTTTGGATAGTATGTGCAATCTGTTCTATTGTCTGTAATATGTTACGTTGTATTGAATACACCTGAATGAAACATTCAGCATCATGTTGCATATATAACACACTAAACATAGTAGTATGCACTGCGCTCACAGCCTTTGATATCTCTAAAGTTGGTGTGAAGGCATAGGAAGCACTTCTGCACCAGAACACAAATGCACACCAATACAAGAAAAGCCTTGCTGTTGCGTATAGTGAGCGTTGAGTTTACGGCTGCCATTAGATAAGACAATAAAATGACCAGTTGAGGGGCAACAATGTTATTTCACTTCTACTTCTATTTTCCCAATCTAGTTGTAGCTTTTTTTGCAGTATATGTATTCAGCATGGGCGATATATAGAACATTGATGGGTGAAATGTGACTGTGTCAACACTCTGTTATCTCCTCCTGTTAGCATGTCCCTTGTCAACAATGATACACTGATACTAAGTCAAGTTTTTTAATGTTTGCATTGAATTCAGCGTTAAAGGTTTTTTGGGTTAAAAATTCTCCCAACCCCCTTCCCTGTCCCTCCCAGTACAGAAAACTGCACCACCAAACACCCATCCCTCCTTCCCCACAGGTTCCTATTTACCTCCAATGACTTCTTGGCCACCCTCTGGTGTTGAATTGCCCAAACTTGCATACTAACATCCCGTAGACAGGACATTGTTTCTGCAGTATGGGTACAGCCCATTCAAGTCTAGATTTTTTTTTTTTACCAGCACCGCATAGGAGGCCCTAGCAATCGGAGGAGGAAAGCTAGGACCTGAGGGGGATGTAACAGTTCACAGTGCTGTTGGGGCAAGAGGGG